ACGAACACACTGAAAGTATCAAAACGACTTTGAATGTCATGTCATAACAATAAAATATACAGTATTTATAATTTTCTTAACCTAAATAGTAATAATAAAAATAATTAAAAAGAAAATTAACACCAATCTAAGAAGTTTGCCCTGTGTACCATTAACGCTGGCAGAATTTCCTCGCTGTATTGCGATACTTATTCATTGAGCGAGGAAAGCACCAGCGGGTCACCGGTACTATCTACCAGGCGCCAACTTAAATATTTAATTAGCACCTTGGCACTCGAACCCCACGGCGCAAGAGTCTCTACTCCAAAGCGAACAAAATCGAAGTTGGAGGAAAACTTATATTTGAGCCGTTAATTATATTTTTCGTTTATTTTTTCACCTTGTATATGTTTGAAACATTACAAAACATAATTTAGCTAATTGCACACACAGGTTTACTACGCCACTATGCACTAATCAGGCAAGGGATATTTATTAGAAATTGTTATTGTTGGGTTATCTACGCAGTGTATGAAAACAAAGTTCGGAGAATAATAATTACCTCGATACAATAAATTACTATGTATTCATAACACGAGTAGGTAATTAATTTCTTCTGTGAATTCAATGACTATATGAGGTTTGATGACGCAATCATTTATCAATATAACCAATTCGACTTAGGGTCCTTCAAGAAAAGAGCGTACCCATTCTTGTAATGCCGGAAACGCACTTGCCTTCTGGCAATATGAGTGTCCATGGGCGGCGGTATCTCTTAACATCAGGTGAGCCTCCTACCCGTTTGCCTGCAATAACATTTAAAAAATCAATATTTGAAAGGGACAAAATCATCTAAGCTCCAAATTAATGAGTTTAATAATTGAGTATGAAGCAAGTTGTATGAATTAAGATAATTATTAAAAAAAAAATCACGAATCACTACACTTTGAGCCCAAGTTTTTTTATTCCTAATAAACAATCCTGTCTTAATAGGTGATCGTTAATTGACAACAATGCACAATATATGAATAAAACTTACACACAAAACAAGAATCAAACATTGATTTGCAAAAACAAAATTACGTCATAAAAAAAAAGAACAAAAACTAACAGCTATAGGCACTTGCTGTGTCAAGTATCTTCACAAACTATCAATCGTGGATAAAGCTCTGCTGTTACCGCATCCTGCTTAAGTCGATTGTTGGTGACGCCTTGGGGTTTTAGTGGGTTTGCACAATCGCAAGTCCCACAAAACCCACCCGCACTAATCAGTCGCGCTGCGTAAGGGTATGCGCAATGCATTTCCCCAAGTAAAAAAAACTGACAATAAAAAAGGTCCGTTAACCTATATAATTCGCTAACTAAAGTTATACACCACAAAAATGTCTGTACATTTTCGACAACACTTTATAATACACAATTAAACCAGACATGAATATACAATTTGCGAATCTATTATCCTTACTTTAAGTATAATTTTTTTCTTCCCATAATACGCGTTCCCACTTAAGGAAGGAATGAAATCGACCTTAACGCATTGTACGGTATTATATACGTTTTACTCAAGATTTAAATTCTTTTCATTATGTATAAAACTTTTTGCTATATATCTTGAATCTCCCGCGAAAGGTGAAGGCTGTTTACTTTTCAAGTTACAGTATTTTCTTGTGAATATTTTAGAAATACAATATTTTGAGTGTCTCTTAAGATGTGTCATTAGATTGTATAATGATATTTATAAATTAAGGTAGAAGATTTTAACAGAAATAAAAGTTTACATATAAGTTTTATGCATGAGTATGCAGAATTACTATTTCAAGTCTGGCAAAGACTCGCTCTGGCCGAACTAAGTGGTAATATTTACTTGGCTATCGCGACGTGAAAATACTATTCATAATTAAATCGCGGATGCGATTAAAATCCCACGCTCGTGACAACTGTTTTATACTTATTATATATATGGTTATAAGAGGCAGTACCTTTATATAGATGTATAACTATAGCTAAAGTTCAAAAATATATATGGATGGAAAGCAATCTTCGTGAAAAACATCTTGTTCGAATTTAATTATTCTGACTGGCCCGGCGCTTCGCGTGACTTACAGCAAGCATGGTCAATGGTCATGCTTTAGATAACACCACAAATCGTCTGTTTTTTTATTAATTAAATAACCATTTAAAAATTCCGCAAAAATAAGCTTAAATGAATTAGAAAGTAAACAAGAGCTAAGACTATGAACGAAAGGAATAAATTACCTTGTAAACGTTCGACAAGTCAACAAACAAATGAGCCAGTATTTTACATTATCACATTACAAATATATTAATTCTTTATTCAAATAATTGTTTATAACAGCAACAGGTGTTGCAAGATGTTTGAATATGAAATTTATTAAACATTGTGACTTTTTATATGGGACAATAATAGCTATAATGTTTAGTTTACGATATAAGACCATTATAGTAGTGTCTACAGTTTTAACCGTCACAAAAAGCGGGAAATTCGAGTTTTATAATTCGACGAGTCATTTTGTTTTTAATAGTAGCAAAATGTTAGAATTTGTATTTATTTACTGGCCATCATCAAAATAACGAAAGATGAATTTGCGTCTTATTTTATGTATTCTTACGACAACACAAGCTTAATATAGGTTACAAGCTGATCCGGCAAACGTCGTTTTGCCATGTTTATCATTTATAATAAAAAATAGGGGTTGATTGTAGAGCGGTGAAAATTTGGGGTTGTATGTATTTTTTAATGCTGTATCATAAAAAATAAATGTTTTTATCTAAAACTAAAAAAAAAATTAGGGGGGGACTACCCTTAAGATTTAGGGGGATGAAAAATAGATGTTGTCCGATTCTCAGTTATACCCAATATGCAAACAAAATTTCATGAGAATCGGTCAAGCCGTTTCGGAGGAGTTTAACCACAAACACCGCGAAACGAGAATGTTATATATTAGATATATCATGTGTAGATATAGTTCTTTGTAAACACAAAACCAGTATCGTAATCAATATTTTCGTAACGTATCAATAGTAATCAGTATTTTAAAGCAACGTAGTACCGATTTCCTTTTTGGCAAACATAAATAATGCAGTCACAATTTCTGTTACCAAGGAAGTTTGGCCTCAACAAAATACTTACATTCCGCCTCTAGCCTTAAATAATGAATAGTAATTCAACATTATGTATCCATTTAATGTAAATCATTAGATGTTTGTACCAAAGGAATTATGGACCTTTATTTCCTCATCATTTATTTATTAGTCCACATAATTATTCATTGTAAGTTTTCCGTAAACTTATAAAGAATTACGCTACAATAAATTGAATTGACTTTAATTGTTAATTTATGTTTTTATTGTATTTTGTTTCTATTTTATAGAACTTATCACTCAACGTGGTTTTAAAAATACACAGGATGCAAATTTATTGTTCTTAAGTTATTTGTAGAAAAAGTTTTTGCTATAAGAACGAGGTGGTTGCAAAAGCGGTTACGGGAGTGACTCAAGGAGTATTTATAGTTAATACAGTGCTAAGTATATTTCCTGTATGTCAAAATACGTATTAGATTTGACATAACAGAGTCATACTTAGCCTTAAGTCTCGCCTTAAGCATACTTTAGGTTCCTGGGGAGCGCTGCGTCTTCTCTGGGAGTAGGCATGGGCTGATGAAGCAGTAATAGCATCTTTAAAGTTTTTATTAAATATGAAAAGACATCAAATCCTATCTATCTAAATATCTCTAAATATATAAAATTCTCGTGTCACAATGTTCGTTCCCATACTCCTCCGAAACGGCTCGACCGATTCTTATGATTTTTTTTGTGCATATTCAGAAAGTCTGAATATCGGCTACTATATATCTTTTAAACCCCTAAGTGATAAGGGATGTCCACCCCAAAATGTTTTTGTTTTTATTTTTTTATGGTACATCATACAAAAATACATAAAGCCTTTAATTTTCACCCCTCTACGATCAACCCCTACTTTTTATAATTGTAGATAATTATGTTATTAAACTAAAAATGTTTCCTTGAAATAATATACCTGGGAATACAAACGTTTGCCGGATCACGTTTGTATTGCCATGTATATTAGTATAGCTAGTATTATATATAGATATTTGGACCACTCCAATCAAGAGCAAGTAATTAACACATGATTCAAAATCATGAGGAAAGCTTTAACTTGCAACAGTTCATAAAACATTCACATATAAATAAAGGTAATAGCAGTGTATTGCTTTATAAATTATATATATACAGCCTTTGAAATATATATTATGCTCATTAGTATAGAAAATTAATTAACGAGCATAGAATAATTTATTGATAAATATATCTGTCACTTATGACGTCTACCTTTCTATCACTCATTCTATGGTAATTTACTTTACAATATGTCAGGCGTAAAATGTCAAATGACGTATTATTGTTACTTATGACGTTTCATACTATTCTTGAGACACTAATTACAAACTTTGCTGTTAGAAAGTGACATAGATAATTGACGTTTGCATAATTTAATTTATTATCTATGACGTAGATACTATTTGTATTCATTTAACTAATCTGTGAACATAATCGCGTCAACGTTTCGTTCTTGTTTTGTTCTTACTATCTTAAAAACTTATGAATGATTTTATGACTGAATAGAGGATAGTCTTTGTAACATATAACTAATGTAACGTAACGGGTAGGTCAATACAGACTCAGCCACTCATCAGGCGTCATTAAAATATTGTCTGTTGTCTATGACCAGAAAAGTTGTTTGTTATAATGTGTATTTAAAAATGTAAAAAATAAAATAAGGTCAATATTAATCTGATGATTCCTTTCTAAAAATGGTTGCCTTTTAATAAATAAGTTCTAAAACTCGCTATTATTGTTAGCTTCGCAAATCGAATTTATCATCACAGCCTTTTAACTGAAAATACATACAGTACTTATAGGATTTTTGGTTGGAATTAGCAATTTAGAATTGCTACCTAAATGAAAACTAAAACCTCATTATGAGCATGATAAACAAAGGTACGGTAAGTCGGAAGACTTTAAAAATATATATTTTCATCAATATTAGTTATCAATTAAATCTATTTGACCGATCCGCAGTGAGGTTTTTCGGGAGAGCTGTAATACTGCTGAAAGGATAATGTATTAACCCTATGTACTATTATTGAGTGTGAACAGTAAAATTCGCTTTTACTTTATACCATACAATAGGTCATATTACAGAAGATTGAGTTTCTATGACGCATCTAGAGTAAAAGTTATAAGTGCAGCTTACGTAATGATCATTGCCTACAATATTTGACTACTATTACGTATGAAAATTTATTAATTTAAAATATATTTTTTGTAATATCGCTGGATTTAAAACTTGTTGTGTAAACACAAGACATATCACCAACTACGATAGAAAGTCATTAAAAAAAACATTTAAAGAAATTTTCTTTTGCGAACTAGCGAACTGTGGAATAGGCTCTGGAGGTCTTCCCTGGGAGATACGACCTCCAATTGTTTAAAAAGACAGCCTGCTCCTCTCTCATAGGCACCTAGAATGAGTGTACATGGTTCTTACTCATGCTGCACCCTCCCCCGCGAGGGGGGTGTTTAGGTCCGTTCGGTGAAATGCCCCTTCGGGTGGTGTATTGGTTCGTACGTTTATAGGTACGGGTGCGGACAATTTTAGCCCTTGATGAGATCTTTGGCGCGCGAGACAGCAGGCTCGAATCCGGTGTCTTGATTTGTGTTTGTGAGGACCGAGAAGCGACGCTGACTCAGTTCTGGGGTCGTGTCCAGTGGTATGTGGGGCAAAGGAGTATTCTCGACTTGGCCCTGGTGTCAAGATCGGTGGTAAGTACATGGGCTACCCATTATAGGCGTCTGGAAGGCTCGTTTGCCCCCCTTATCCCACCAAAAAATGGGCCTCATTAAAACTATTTATCTAAGCATTACACCATACACTTAGCACCCAGTCATATCATATTATATACAGTGATATTGTCATATGTATTACCCCTTGTATCGATACGAATAACGCTGACAGAAAATAGCCTAATACAGAATTACTTTAAACATGTTTACTATGCCGTATGACGCATCGTTGCCCGCATCATCAACAGGAAGACAAGATTACAAAGAGTTTACCTCAGTGTTACATTTAGAATTGGGTCAGTTATAATATTACTTCTTGAGTATTTTAAATTACTTGTTTAACCACATAGGTCTAAGATTTACCTGTTTCGTCGGTAATTTTTATTTATAGCTCAGCTGTTTGAACCTGACACATTTTGGGTCTTAGATATACCTCATGATGTTTCCTATGACCATAAGTTCGAACACACAACAGAGTGAGAGTCACACGCTTCACTACTAATACAGCTAATTTTTTTATAGAACAAACGGGTAGATAGATCTTATTAATACCAGGTCGCATGGACACTGCCAATAGGTACAATTACAAGTGCATTGCCATCCTTTCAAAATGCTGTTCTCTTTAAGCAACTAAGTTAAATTGGTTCGAAAATAGTAGTAGTTCTAAGGTAAATATTTACGCGTCATTTTAAAAGAATAGATAATCTTTGCACAAAGACTCCACATCCGATGTTACAAGGATATTGTTAAAAAAGTAAAGCTTAAGATATAATACACCTAGATTAAGACGATGGAAGGGTGTCGGTGATGTTTATGAGCGATTAACAAGACGCTGATAAATAATAAATGTGTTATGAAAATATTTGTTGGAAAAATTCGGAAAATTTGAAAGTGCGCAGTGGCACTAATGATTTTTTAATAGGTGAATTAGAAAATGTGTTTAAGATGATAAGGTAATTGCTTTAAATCTATACTAATATTATAAAGAGGAAAGGTTTTATTTTTTGTTTGTTTGAAATGAATAGGCTCCGAAACTACTGGACCGATTTCAAAAATTCCTTCACCGTTGGCAAGCTTCACTATTCCCGAGTGACATAGGCTATGTTTCATTTTCAAAAAAATTAGGGATGCTTACTAAAACTTGAATAATCTAACCCAAGGAGTAAAAAAAAAAACAAAAAACTTCCTTCAATCGCGTGCGCTGCGAAAACTATTAATGATAGAACAAAAAGATGTATTACAATTTTTCAGGACACATCACTGTCTATACAAAATGTCACGACAGCATGTCTCTATCTTTTATAGTTACGTCACAATAAGCATCCTTTTATTATTAGTTTTTTATTAAAATACCACCGCTAGAAAAGGCTCTTTATTCGTAACTAGGTATTGATCCTTATCAATATAATTACCAACGTTTCACATAAGCTACAATTTAATGGCATAACCACCAAAAAAGCATGGTGGATTGGTTTTCTCCTGCCTTTTCTCTTGAATAGTTTACTACTATGTAATATGACAAAAATCTTAGCCACAGCAACGCTTGGCCGAGTCTACTAGTGTGTTATATTTGTGTTCTTTAGCGATGTTGGTACCAGCTCCGGTACTCTGCAACTCAATAGCGACGTTTGCAATCTAACAATATTCGTAGTAGAGTTGTTTAGACATTTGGATAGCCCTGTACAAATACTCATTGCAATCGCCATTATGAGTTACAGAGAATTTAGCAATCACAGGTCAGTGCTATAAAAATAAAATTGTTAGAAACTAGCAGTCGGGACTGTTTTAAATACAAAAAATAACTTTAAAAGATCCACTTGTTAATCTAAACAATTCTCAAATCTTTTCGAACACACAAAAACAAAATAAAAATATAAATACCTACTAAATTCTAATTAATATTAAGTTAGATAAGACAGTAAATATATATATTATTTAATTTTATGTGTGAAACGTAAAAGATACACACACATTTTCATCATTTTGTGCGTAAAACTACGTTTATTTATATGCGAAACTTAATAAACTTAAAAAATATACTATAAAAACTAAAACATATTATTAAAAGGAGTCCCTTTAGGCAAAGTTCTGAAGATACTGGCAGCAAACTAGCTAGCTATTCTAAGTAATTTGAGGATTTATATCATGAACTAAATAAAGAAGGAAGTTAAATTCCAAAGCGTTAATAATAAAGTTTAAAATGTTTTATTGTTTCTCGTTTTTTTTCGTTTACTTAAAGCAGGTATTATTACCAATTGCATAATTACCGAACCTTGTAGTGAAAGTGAAACTGCAATAAAATGTTTTTGCTACTTTTTCTTTGATCCCGAATTAACAATACACTTCTTAAAACTTTCGCTTTCAAACATTACAAAACAATGGTTATTCCTACTAAATGCTACCTTTTACTACTGTTTGGAGAAACAATAAACACTGTTGTTTACTTAGCAAGGTCAAATATCATAAAAATAACATACTTACGATTTTTTTAATCAGCGTCTCAACTCTCAACACTGACTTGGATAATTCGATAAATCTCGAGAAGTCTATCTATAATCTATTTACTGACCCTGTACACTTCGTCTGTCTTTTTTAAAGTTTTTTATGTTTATAAGAGAGATCCCCTATTTCAGGGATATTGCTGCGAGATTTACGGAAGCCGGCCTATACAGAAAACTTCCAGGTGCGTATTAAATTGATAATTACTTGTATTAAAAAATATCTTATATCTTACTTTGGCATAGACATAACATTTCTTACAAACAAAACACACACAGAAACACACAAAATAACAATAATAAAAAAAATATAAAAAATAATTAAAGGTAACATTTTTTTTCTTTTCAAGAACAAGGTACGATTTAATTGTGTAATGCGTGTGTGCTGTGGCTCAGCATTATGCTGAGGAGCAGAATGTTCCACAGCGCTGGTCATTCTGCCAGAGACACACAGCTAGTTAGGGTTTGGCTTTGGGCTTACCTATTTATATTTAAAACTTTATATTTAAAAATATTTATCATTGTATAAATGAAAGTGAATTCAACGATAAATCCAGCAACTTGGCAAGAGTTTGTAATTTGTTCTTTGCTTCTTGTGGGTTTTGAGGACCCGACCGAGCAATAACCTGGAATGTCGAACGCCCCTTAGCTGGTAACGTTAATTTTTTTTTTAAAAGGCACACGTGGTGATGCGAAAAGTTCAAATTGATAGACCTTTGGTTGTTAAATAACCTACCAGTTACCGGTAACTACGAGTTTACTTAATTTTGGACATGCATTGAAACTTTTTGTCTCGTTTACGACGTAATTATATCGCAAAAAATTGACACCATTGCGGCACCCTTTACCAGTTTAGGTAAAGCATACTGACAATACAAAACAATGGTATTGTAACTGGAATCATCAAAACAAACTATGGTAACTTTATTGGTTCAAACGTTTATGGTCGGTCCCATTTTTATAGTTCTTTCGTATGTAAATACGTAGACGGCATGTGTCTCGAACATTGTTAAATCGAATTGTAAAAAATCTATTTTTTTGTTTTCCTTGAAGTTCGGTTTCGAATACTTTTGCTTTCGTGTTTTTACAAAACAATGCGATGATTAGCTTTTAGAAAATTTGCATAATTTATTGTTATTGCCATTTCGACGAACAGAGATGGTGATGACAATCTTTTTTATGTTTATGGGCTTTTTTTAATTCGGCGTATCAGAAAACTTAACACTCGGTGCTTTTGTATTATTATTAAGACAACTTTTTTAAATCTTTTAATGAATCTTAACTTAACTTAACTAAAATTTAACGGCCCTATTTTTATTATTAGTTTTATTTTATCATATAGGACAGTTATAGTAGTTTTGTAATTATAATAATTAAATATATTATTTTATTTATAATTATAAATTACTAGCAGACCGGCCAGGCGTTGCTGTGGCTAAGGTTATTTTTAGTAATATAACATAGTAGTAACCTATTCAAGGGAAACGGTAGGGAACACCAGTCATGGGGACCACCATGCTTTATTGGTTGCCATTAAATTGTAGCTTATTTGAAACTTGGTACTTTCAACACAGCGCCATCTGTTAGAATTGTGACTATCAAATAATAAACAAATATTTTGCAATAAAATAATATTGCGGGTATAAATTGAGATGTAAGCTATCCTATCTTTTAAGTTGGATCAAACTACACACGGTGTGCTAATTTGATTGAAATCGGTTCGGTAGTTTAGGGTTCCATAGCGGACAAGCAACGTGACACGTAATTTATATATATTAAGATTATAAAGTGCCTTTCTTTGAGGGCCTCAAGACGGGGCACTGACGATACACCGGCTGTACACTGTGCAGGTTTTAATCAACCTTTCGAATTTTATTATTAATATATAACACGACAGTAAATTTCAGTTAAACTAGTGAGTTTAGCCGACGCGATTTTATCAACCGCTGGGTAGATAAAATCGCGTCTGTTGTGAATAAGAATTTGTGTCTATTCAATTTATTGCATTACTAGATTCCGCCGTAGCTAAGAGCGTGAATTTTGTTTATTTTGGCTTGCTTTTTGCGACAGTTAACAATAATCACTATTTCAGTCAATTTAAATAAAACCTTACACTAGAATCATACTATCTATTGGTAAAACGGCACGCCAATCTGTTCGGTATTTTATAGATTATCGCGTAATAGATGCAAGATTAATATTTATGTGCAGTGCAGTTAGTTGCTTGTGACATCCCAGAGATAGTAGGTTGGTTCCCAGCTGTGTACCAATAGGCTTTCTCTATTTTTTCTGTCTATGCGAATTAAACACACGCTCATGCGGTGAAGGAAACCTGCCATCCATGTCTCAAATCCAAAAATCGATGACATTCGCCAGGCTGATATCTATTAAATAAATTGATCAAAGAATAGGATGCAATCTGAGGCCCATGTAGGGTTGTAGCGCTGCTGAAATATTAATATTTTTGTGTGAATACATTTGAGAATATAAATTTAAATTTTCTATGCATGTATAACGTATAACGTCCCGTTTTGAACGGGACTGTCCCTTTTTCCAATTACGAGTCTCGGTGTCCCCGAAATGAACTGTGGGACGCAAAATTGTCCCGTTTTCAGAAACCGCGCGAAAATATAAAAAAAAACGTGCCAAGAGTTTCATTCTTATTTGAAATCGTCACCAACTATATTAAAACACATTTGTTCTTCTGATAATTTATTTGAAATCTAAATAAACATTTTGGGTACCTATACTTTGTGATTCGTAACTTTTATGCCAACTAACTTTTCCTAAATAAATAACTTTGAAAAACTTTTTGACTACATATAATTATGACCTAATTTAAACCAATGTCTCGGACCAAGGAATAAATGGTCACTTTATGCATGTACCTAATAAAACCTATAACGCTAAATCTCTTCCCACCATTAATATATTTATAACTTGAATAATGCTTGATTTTTCATCTTCAACCTTTACGTCTCATAAGTAATTGAACAATAGATATGACGTTTAATTTTGTTCCATTCACTTCTGCCAAGCTTTTTTTACATTAGCCTCGAACGCATCCGCCTGTTATTTTCATTCGCAGTCTTTTCATATATTTAGCGTTATTTTATCATGCCTATTAATTTTTATATGATGTGTACTAGGATGTAAGAGAGAATTGTTATGAGTAAGATTTCAAAATGCACTTTTTTGCACAACATTATACATCGCTTTTTAACGTTAAAGCCGGTTTAAACTGCACCGGCTCTCTGGAGACTTATTTAAAATGTGTCATTTGGATAAAATTTTGATACACTTTTTATTAAATATATTTTAACGACTTATTTAATTCACATACACATGCTTCAAACGACTTTTTGGTTGGTACCTTAATATCCCTTATTAGTTAGATATAGATTTTTTAATGTTACAAGAGGGAAACGGGTAGGAGGTAGGGAATGCAATCCCGATCCCGCGGGATTCTGATCTCGCGAGATCCCGTGTAATTTTTCGGGATCAATCCCGAAGCATAATATGACGAGATCCCGTTCGAGATTGACGGGATTGGGAGATACTGATTTAGTTAGTGCAGAACATACGTTGCGTTTCGTTATTCGAAAGCTAGAAGACCTAGAAACTACTCTCTCAGAAAAGTTGGTCCCTTTGATAAAAAATCTAAAAAATCCGAATAATTTTCAAGATGATTTGGAGCAATGGAAAGGCAATGAGACTTTCCAATTGCCAAGCAAATATCTAAATCGAAGAAATCAAAAAATATAATCACACTATTATAGAGATTAATAGAGAGTAGTAGGAACAAGTAGAAATTAATACATAGTATTAAACGAAGATCACTTGCCACTTTCTATGATTGCAGAGAATTTAAATATGTATAAATTCTACTGCTACACAAACTAATACATCACTTCAAGAGGAATTAGAAGAAACTCTCCGAAACGCTAGCTTAGACAAATTAGAGTCAGTAATACAAAAATAAATGGATTTTTTGAGTGTGGAGGAACAAGGGGGCGATTTTTTCAGTTTATATAATATAATTGCTTATTCACGCTGTTGCCAACCAGTGTTGAGTTGGAGAAAGCATTCTCAGCAGCTGGGTACATCGCAACGAACATTAGATGCCGGTTATCAGATAGCACTCTTGATACACTTTTTTTAAACAAGTTACTTTCAAAATGTACTACTTTTTAATATCCTTAAATAATATCTTCTTTTGTTTTGATTATGTTGAGTTCGTAAAACTGTTAATTATTAAGTTAGTACTAAAGGCCACGCCAAGCCAATAATATTTTGTTTTAATTAACCTCATTATGACAAACAAGCATTTTTCATCATATTCAATCATGTGAAATTCACATTTTTTTAAACATGACGAGATCTCGAAAATCTCGGGATCCCGCTGGATTGATATTTCTAATCCCGCGGGATCTCGAATTTACGATCTCGAGTCGGGATTGCATTCCCTAGTAGGAGGCTCACGAACACTGCCAGAAGGCTCGCGAGCGCGCTGCCGGCCTTTTAAGAATTGGTATGCACTTTTCTTGAAGGACCCTAAGTCGAATTGGTTCGGAAATACGTCAGTACTGCTGGTTGCACATAGTGGCGGTGCACGGCAAAAATTGCCTTAAGAATCGCTCAGTTGTGGAACCATGGACGTCGAAGTGATACGTATGGTATTTTGTATGGAGATTTTAGGATTATCAAAAAAGTATAGATATGGTTTTGGTTAAAAATTAAAATATACTAAAATATATAAATTATAATCTCACTCATTCTCGTTTGATATGAATCTGTATACAAGAACCGCATGTACAGTCAAACCTGGATAAGCGAGAGTTCGAGGGAGCACAATCTTATTCTCTTATAAGTTTTCTCACTTATCCAATTCTTACTTACCCAGGTTTGACTGTAATAGTATCTATTTTAAAGAATTAAATACCTAATTTCTATATTTGAGCTGGTCAAAAGCACGTTTTACCATACTGCAATATTTGTGCTTGTCACACATTTATCTTACATAATGATACGTTATCAAATCGCCCTGTGGCACCCTACAAATCATCGTAGTTAAATGAACAATTTAATATAAACTATACGACATTGTCACAAAGTTCAATGTCGCATGACTTTTGCAAAAAAATCAAAACTAAAATGGCGAGAGCTACGTGACATTCGTTCGCACAAGCCATGTAA